CAGACTAATGGTAATGCCCAATACCGGTACCCATGAGTCTCTGTTTTTCTTTCAATAAATCATGGTAGATTAATACTAGATGCCATCAGATTAACTCAAAATATTTCAAAATAATCATTTGCAGAAATGTATATTTTGAATAGTGCATGTACTATTAACTATGAATGTATAATGTAATAGTAATGGCTTTGGAAAATGGCCAAAAATTCTTATCCTGAACACAGTAACATTAGTTATTAGATGAGCAATTAAAAATTGCTTCAAAATAGTATGAATTGAGAGAATGATAAATTAACACTCGACTGTGCTTTGATTTGGGTGATTGAATAGGCCTGTGGAATGATATCACTTACCTTAGAAACTATTACAATGATAACACACTGATCACTGTTGTGTAATTCTAAGTATTCACCTGCTAAGGAACTGTGATTGGTCAAACATTCAATCATCATTTTATATAAATTAGTTTATAGTTTATAAAACGATTGCATAAGCATCTAAGCCGTTTCACAATTTTATTTAGCAGGGTTTATGAATTTCCACAAACAATGTCAAGTATCACACCCAACCAATATAATGTGAAAATTGCAATGATAAGCGGTTTTAAATTTCTGCAATATGCAAAACAGCTTATTAATATGCACGAAAACACTACATATCACTGTAAAGCCAACAGTGAGAAAGACAAGTAAATAGTCACAAGTGCTGGCATTTCATATTTTTTAAAAAGTCAGAGAGACAGCAAGTATCTTACGTTTTAGAGGGGGAATATTAGCAGAATACTCACATCGAGTTCGTCAATGAACAGATCAGGAGCACCAGCTGAGTAACTAACCCTTGACCTTGTGTCGTCCGCACACAGACCGGAAGTGACGCACTCGTACACAGATGTCGCCCTCCAAAGACACGTATGCACCGAAGACCTGCCATAAATTTTGACATTATTGTTATCTGAAATACACATTATGATTGGCAATCTCTACTTAAGATCACGGTGTACTATATAGATACGGCAGGAATCATTGCATGAACCGGACATTGTCGGAACTTAGACGGGAAACATACGCCGGTCGTCGTCATCAGTCAACGGTTTTCCCCACCAACTCCGACAAGTGAGTGACAGCTAGTATTACGATTGATCGGTCGATCGATCGTTTGCACCACGAGTTAAAACGCCCTGTTTGTTCTAAATATGTGTTCAGTGGTGGTTCCTTCAGTTTTATTTATCGATATTCCAGATATTCTGTGTTTGTTCTGTTAGTTACTGTTGAGTTGTTTTGGAGTACTTCCGGTTTTGGAAGTTGCCTTAAAGAGGACTATTTTTACCTCCTTCCTACGACTCGTATTGAGCGTGGCGTTATTTTTATTAAACCATCTGCTGTTTTAGTAAAATGGCCGTGGGTATTGTGATAATCACTATGCCAATAATAATAATAATGATAAACTTATTTCATTCTTAGAAAAAGCATTTCTATCAGTTTTTAACAACAAAGATGAACTACAGACAATAATGAAACAAAAAAGAAAGAAAATTAGTCAAAAGTGTTGTTTTCATTCCTTGTATGAAAGGAGAAATGTATTTTTGTTGGTGATTTGTGATCTCAGATAGAAATACTATTTTTGAAAGTATATCAATTTGATAGTTTTCGTATTTTAGGACATATCATAAAAAAAATGTATTGCATCTTCTATATGTTGCTATGTCATATTTTAGAACAAATCTGTACATAGACTAGGAAGATTAATAATGGGAAAGAGTTCCTTTTGTACCCTAACATTAACCCTACTCCTACCCTCCAGTGCTTCCCAATTTAATTGTATATGTCCCTTTTAATGAACACGTATAGTTATCCAGAGAAGGAATTTACAATTAAGTTTGGGGTGAGGGTTAGAGTTAGGATTAGGGGTGCAAAAACAAATCTTTCCAAAAAAATGTCAATAAAACGTACTTACAATTCACATGTAAAATAATTTAAAGTTTTTAATTTTTTTGTGTATTTTCTCTTGGAATTTCTTGCCATGTCTTGACTTGTGTACTGTATTCTCTATTGTTTGCCATGGATGTGGCCACAATATCCTCACTTTCCTTCATCTTGTCACAGTTCCTCAACAATGTCTTGTATATGTCTTTGTTAAGTGCAATCAATTGATAACATTGATGTACAGGTCTAAAGATTTCATCCATATCTGTGATTTGTTTGTATTTTTGTGTTTTCAAAATGGTTTTGATTGAACAGTTAACTACTGTAAAAGGTTTAATTATTCACTTGGTTTTAATTTTGCTTATTTCGCTGACTGGAAAATGCGATAAATTAAAACCCAGTGAATATGTAAAATTTAAGATGGCCAAATAAAAGCCATTTTATTTCCAAATATGCATCAAAATCACCCATTTTCAATACTCTAGAACCCGACCTCAGTCATTGTTATAAACAATTCCACAGGGGTATATCTCATACATGTTGGTAAATTTTATGGATATTGCCTCAGTAGTCATGTGATATCTCATGTCTACATACAAACATTGTGCTTTATATCTACTACATCTTTCATTAAGGTATTTATTTCAGTTGTATATAAAGCCATGTTGTGTTGCAAATTATCACAAAACAAAAGTCTCATTACCTGTTTACTTTCACAGTGGCATTAATTTGCTAGTTATACCAAAATAATATCAATTCAGTTCAGATGATTCTTTTACACATCTAAGCCTATGCGTATTAGGCACTAAATATACAGGTAGATTGTTGAACAGCTGTTTGTATAATAATTCGTATTCAAATAATTATTATTATTATGCATCTGTCACTGTAATGCCATAAGTTACAGCGTGCCATAATTTTGCGGTATTGCACTGGGTATTTTCATCCTACCATATTAGGAAACGAAAATTCCAAATATGGAATGATTACGCGAGTAAGCGTCCTCTAAGAATAAAAACAAACATGACTGCCCCCATGGTTTGGCCGGACCCCAGGTCACACAGTTCGATATATCTGTTCGCATCAACCTCCGCTGCGCATCGGCTGATACTCCCGCTGTACTGTCTTTGTGCATACTTTGCAGTATCCTCGTAATAACCTCATATTATTATTCACATATATTTAATATATTGGTGAGTATGTTTTTAAAACACTACAATTTTCATTACACAATCTACAATGTACAAACAAGATTTTTTTTCTGCATTCATTTTCTATGCATTAGTGAATCCCAAAACTGTTAACACATGCTGTGTTTGTTTTTACGATGGCTACTGAGATACAACTACACCATCATTATTTTTGTGATTCAATTCAATATGGCTGACACCCAAATTTCATGTACCGACACATTGTAAAAGTGCTAAATCGTCATTTTTACATGTCCGGAGCTGTTTCTCAGACATGACTAGGCCGATTTGGATCAAAGTTGGTATGGTGATCATACATATAGCTGCACGTCATATTTTTTTCGGGATTCAAACAAATATGGCCAACTGGTAGCCATTTTGTTGACTCCCATGTGCGAAGCACATGTGTGTGTGTGTGTGTGTGTGGGTGTGTGTGTGTGTATGTATGTATGTATGTATGTATTTTTGATATTTGATATTTTTTTATTAGACGCATAAA